GAATTTATTTATTTATTTATTTTAGTTCTCGGTGGACACAACATCCTTGTTGGTACGTGGTGCTGAGGATCGAACCCGGGCCGCACGCATGCCAGGCGAGCGCGCTACCGCTTGAGCCACATCCCCAGCCCCGATCAGTAGTGTTTAGTTGATTCATTCCAATGGTTTTCTATTTCTCTTAGTCTGTTTGTGCTTTGTGAGTTTAATCCAAGTTTTCAGGGTTTTGCAGAGTGGTGTAAATATTTCTAAATAACTAGATTAGCATTCTGATAAAACACTGTCCTTTCCGGTTACATTATCTTTTTTTTTTTTTTTTGTGCCAAGGGATAATGTTTTGATTCTGGGTAGTAAAACGGGCATAAATTACACTAGTTAAAAATACCCTGGACGCTGGCTCCTCACCCTCTGCCTTTGGGGAACAGATTGCTTTTTCAGGCTGGCCGCAGAGATGAAAATTCCTCATCCATCCTGTGCTTCCTGCACGGCTTCTGAAGCCGTCCTTTCTTTGATGATTCTAATGAAAACACGTGAGGGGGAAAGTGACTTTCCTGCTCTTTTCCTATCTGATGGCACTTGCTTCTCATGATGAACACTTTATCTAGAGCAAGACCCCCTTGGAGCAGGTAGAGTTGCCCGTTCTCTTTTCCTGGTAGTTTAGCGTGAGATCAGATGGTTTGGGTGGCTTCCTTTCTCAGGTGGCCTGGCCAATCTGTCCTGCTATATGGCTGGGGATATGTAAGCCACTGAAAACTGCCACCGATCTTAGAAAGTTTAAACCTACAGGCAGCTGCCAGATTTCTCTTCTTTCCAACACGCCCCTACATTCTCTGCCAAAATTCTTTACCCAGGGGGTTCTGAACACCCAATGAGAATCACAGTTACATCTGTAACACCTGTAAAAAGGATTATAATTGTTACCTTTTAAATCCAAGTGGTAGGTGTGTAACTCAAATCACTTTCTTAGATAAAAATGTGGGGTATGAGGAAGAACAAGTGGAGCAAGCCAGTAGACCAGGGAGTGAGTTGGCATCTCTGGAAGACTTTTCTGAAAACATGGAGAGGGATGGGAGTGAGCTGCCCATGCTCCATCGAGGTGCGGCTGGTGACAGGGGCAAAGGGGCAGTTAAAGCTTTGCGTGTGTCCTCAGTGCTCCTGTGGACACACGCACTGGGCTTTGTGTCATTTATGAGGCAGTTTGGGTTGTGAGGGTGAGACTGGTGGACTTTTTTTTTTTTTTTTCCCCAAGTTCTGGGAAATAAACCCAGGGGTGCTCCACCACTGAGCTACACCCTCAAAACTTTTTAAAACTTTTTTTTTTTTTGGTGCCAGGAATTGAAACCAGGGTTGCTTAATCACGTAATCAGCCACAACCCCAGGCCTTTTTATTTTTTTATTTTGAGACAGGATCTTTCTAAATTGGGTAGGGCCTTGCTAAATTGCTGAGGCTGGGCTGGGGTTGTAGCTCAGTGGTAGAGCGCTTGCCTCAGGTTCGATCCTCAGTACCGGGTTTGATCTTCAGCACCACATACAAATAAAATCAAGGTATTGAGTCCATCTACAACTAAAAAAATATTTTTAAAAAACAAATAAATTGCTGAGGCTGACCTTGAACTTGCCATCATCCTGCCTCAGCCTCCTGGGTCGCTGGATTATAGGGGTCACCACCATGCCAGTCTCCTTTATAATATTTTTCTTCTTCTTTTGAGACAGGGTCTCTCTAAGTCGCTTAGGCTGGCAATGAACTTGGAAATTCTCCTGCTCCAGCCTCCCAAATAGCTGGGGTTACAGGAGACTGGTGAATCTTAAGACATAAATGGGAAACAAGAGGAAACTCCGTAACTGTTCACAGCTGTGGGGAAATTCACTGGGAGGACTTTGGATTCTCCTGTTTACTGTGTGAAGAGCTTGAATCAATGGTGAAATGATTTTTTGTTCAGTATTCTTTTTTTAAAAATGACATGCCGGCTATGTGTCATTCATTTTTTTAAAACATTCACTGTTGAGTTTGCCCAATGTGAAAAACCCAAAGTGCCGTTTTTCTGACTGTGCATGGTGTGGTCTTAGGTCTGTATAATGGCACCACAGAGGCTGTGAGAGGGTCCAGGGGACTGGCCCTGGGTCTCCCACTGTGAACCAGCACTACTTAATCTCTATTATACAGTGGTAGCTTGGTGAAGATTTTTGTTTTTATAAAATTCCATTGATTGAAAAATGTTTCAAAACCATCACATTAGGGAATTGATGTTATTATCCCYGGAAAATAAATTGTTTCTTTTTTGAACAATCATTTTGGATTTTCATATCTCAAAAGAAATGAAATGTGTGTCTTCTTTCCTGTATCTCATTGGGTCACAATTGAATGGGTCACATTTCATCCTATTGAAATGCTTAGAATTCCTTTTTTAAAAAACAAAAACAAAACGAGTTTTTGCTACAGAAAAGGTTTTTGTGTCATAAACATATTTTCAGGGGTGGGGGTGTAGCTCAGTGGTAGAGCATGTGCTTAGCATGTGCAAGGCCCTGGGTTCCATTCCCAGTACCAAGACACCTCCACATATTTGTTTTTACATGTTTTGTAACTTTGATTTCACAACCTCTGGGCATGTAACTCACGAACTAAGGAGTAATATCTTACATATGTGACAAGAAACGTGTTTGTATTTCAGACAGCCTTGATTGGCACAGTTGCTCTGCCATGTATAAGCTCTGAGAACTTTGGCTGATAACTTTTCAATGTCTCAATTCATCTATAAAATGAATAAAATAATCATCCTGGTTGTAAGAGATTAAATGAAATAATATATGTGAAGGCATACAATGAACAGTTTGAAAATATCTAAACATTTTGAAATTATCTGTAAAACTTTTTTTTGGTGTACAAATGTTTATAACATCTTTATCATAATAAAAACTTAACATTTCAATCATTTTAAATCTAAATTCAGTGGTGCTAAATCCCTTAAGGGTTGTGTAGCTATTACCACTATCCACTTCTAGAACCTTTTCAGCATCCCATGCAGAAACTCTGCACCCATTAAACAATAATTCTTCATTTCCCCCTCTCACCACCTGGTAACTCCAGTTACTTTTTTTTTTATCGCTATGACTTTGACAACTTTAGGTACTGCTTTTAAGTGCAATGAAAGCATTTACCATTTTCTGTTTGGCTTATTTCACTTAGCGTAATATCTTCAAGGTTCACCCATATAATAGCATGTTAGAAATCCATCTCTTTTTAAGGTAGAATAATATTTCTTTGTATGTAAATACCATATTTTGTTCACTTATCCATTGATGGACACTGGAGTTGGTTTACCCTTTTGGCTGTTGTGAATAATAGAATAGATGTACAAATATCTCTTTGAGACCCGGCTTTCTGTCCTTTTGGGTATAGACCAAGAAGTAAACTTGCTGGATATTATGGTAATTCTTTAACTTTTTTGAGCAACACCTATTTTGAGTGTTTTTGTGAACCTGTTGAACTGGTTGCAGTGATGCAACTCCTAAATGGCATGTTTACTAATGGTGGCACTTCCCTCCCTCCCCTCCAGCTTTATTAGGCTCTATGTGACAAATATAAATGGGGTCCCTTTGTAGTGGACAGTGTGGTATTCTGATATACCGTGTATACATGTGAAATGAGTGAATCAAGATCATTAGCATTGTGTTGGGCTGGGGTTGTAGCTCAGTGGTTGTGCCCTTGCCTAGCATGTGAGAGGCACTGGGTTCGATCCTCAGCACTACATAAAAACAAATTTAAAAAAAAGGTAATTAGCATATCATTGCCTCACATATAAGAACATTTAATTCTACTCAGCAATTTTAAAGTATATGATACATTATTGTTAACTATAATCCCCAGACTGTACAGTAGATCTCCAAAACTTATTCATGCTTTCCAGCTCAAACTTGGTGCCCTTGCCCACCATCGCCCCAGGCCCCTGCCACAGTGGCCTTTTTAATTCCCAAAGCTGGCATGCTGTGCGTTGGGACAGTGAGGTGAGGTCAGCTTAAATTTCAGGACTCCAGGAATAAATACCTTGCCAAGATAGCAAGCTCTCCAGCCCAGGCTTCTCAGAAATGTATTAGCTGTACCCTTAGAGATCATGGAGGATGAGCATGTGCTCAGCTGGTCCCCACATGTGTTGGTGAAACAATAGCGGTATCAATGGATATAATGTTTTCTGCTTTGGACCTCTCTGCAGGGATTGAGGAGACAGAAGAAGGCTGAAGACAGGCTGATGGGCTCAGTTGGTAGGCTCCACTACCTCACCATGACTGCCGAAAACCCCACACCTGGAGACCTCGCTCCGGCCCCCCTCGTCACTTGCAAGCTCTGCTTGTGCGAACAGCCTCTGGACAAGAYGACCACACTCCAGGAGTGCCAGTGCATCTTTTGCACAGCTGTAAGCTTTCCTTGATGCTTTCATTATGAGAAAAAGGACAAAGGGAAAAATTGTGAGAGTAGGATACATTTCTGTGGCTCTTTGAGAAGCCAAAGCTTGCTCCAATCTGATCTTGCTTTGGAAAACAACGTCACATTTGCTTCGCTTTCCAAATAGGAGCTCACATGGTAAATCCAATGTTTAATGGTTTTTTTTTTTAGTAAATATGATGTATATATGAAATTTAATTATTGATTGAATAAGTACAGTGTGTTCTTAAGATACTAGTTAAGGAACAAAATAGAAAACACTTAATATCTCTAAGAAGCTCACTAGGTTTTGAATGATAGAGAATCAGGTAGCAATTTACCGAATTTTCTTTCATAGCCTTGCTCACCTCCTACAAAGACATGATATACTATTGTTTTACTTTGTCATCTTTCCTTTCTTTCTATGGTATTCTGAATCTTCTTGTTCCACAGGAGAGAACCCCAGAAATCTTCCTGGGGTGAGCTTCTCTCTTTTAGGGTGACACCAGGTATTAATGCCTGTGATCCTTATTACAAGTTTCCTTGAAGGTCAGTTGGTTAAGGTATAAAGATAGGAGACAGACTGCTGAGTTCCTGCAGAATACAAAGATGGCAGAGAATATTGTTACACTGTTTGTTCATTCAGCACAATTCTGTTGAAAAGTAACTGTGTCCCAGGAACTATTTTTCAGGGGCCAGGATTTTATTAGAGAAACAAAACCTGGAATGGATTTTTGTTCTTAGGAGCTTATAGTCTATCAAAGAAAGTTATACTACGAACAAATATCATAATAAGTAGGTAAGTTATCTAGTATTGAGGAAAAAAGATTTCGGGAAAATGTAGAGTCTGGCAAGCGTGTGTGGTCTGAGGGCATATGGTGGTTTCCAGTCGGGTGGTCAGGAGCAGGCTTCACCGAAACTTGTATTGACATTGCTTCTCCTTCCTCATCTTGCCTGTGTGTGTTGCTTTGTAGGAAGTGAGGAAATGACCAAGTATCTAGAGCAACTTCCGTTTCCTTTGGTCTTGCTTTGTTTCGGACTACTGTCCTTCAGAAACTATTATTTCTCTTTCTCGCACATGTTTCTGACCCTTGCTAATCCTTGAAACAATGAGTCAGAAGCAACATTTGGTGAGAATTCATGATGGAAATTTTCTCAGAGGGTAACTGGTGTTTGCAAGCAGGATATGGAATTGAGTTTTTGCTGTGAGGTTTCAGGGCAGAATTTAAGTTTGTGCGTCAGCATTGGGTGAAGAATACCAGGCAAAGCTTATACTTCTTATTTGTAAATAACCATTGCTGACATATTATTGTTTCAATAGATTTTAGTTCCTAATTAAAAGCAGCACAACTACTTCTCATTTCTCCTTCAGCAATTTGGGAGTAGGAGTCAGTACAATTAGATTATTCTGTCATTGAGATTCATCCCTCCTCAGTGTTAGGGAGTGCCCAAAAGCAGAAATCAAATGGCTTAATATTTTCAGTGCCCTCCCTCTTTAGGAACTTTTATATCTGTAGGCATCAATCTTCCCTGGTCTCCTATTAACCCAGTGATCTACTAAAATAGGAAGTTGTGTGTGTGTGATCACATTAGTGTCTGGACATTTGTGATTAGAATCAGACTTGTCTGAAATACTATGTTAACACTTTGTTTTAGTTATAGATTTACTTCTTGTTTTTTCACAAAAATATTTTAAAATGTGTCTAATAGCTCCACACTTAAATTTTCATTCAAATTAAAGATATCACATATCTTTTGTTTTCAAGGATGAAAAGAAATTTGTAACATTTTTTCATATGCTACATTCTCCCAATTTCCACTTTAATCGGATGATGACATCTCCCAGTGTTTGACTGGGAAAGACTTCTTGTGTGTACCATATTTTAAATACAGCTTTACTGGTTTTGCTAAGAATTCCCCTCGCCCTCCCTTTCCCCTGAGGAATAGCCAAATGTAATAGTCTACCTGCTAAATTTGGTGGTGTACCACTATGTTTTCATGGATTTAATGAAGTTTTTAAATGTTCTATTTTTGGCTGTTCTTCCTAAGAGGAACCTCTGGCCATTTTGCTGGGAGCTTAAATTMTTTTTGCTTCTAAGGTCACTGTGCTCCAGTGCTAGCTCTGTCTTAACTCATCTGTGTGAATGGGCCCATGACCAATCTCCCTGTTTCTCAGTTGTAAAATAGARGTGCTCCAGCTGTGGGGGGCATTGCATTCTGGGAGTGCAGAATGAGTGGATGTGGCGCTGTCTTGACTAGTCCATGTTCGCCCACTCATTTCCTATCTTTAGGGAGAACTGGCTTCTCTCCATGCCAGTGTGTTCCATGGACTGGCAGCTCTGTGAGGCCAAGATGATTCTTTAATAAAACATTCCACAGTTGGATTAGTTTGGAAACTGCTATGTTTTTTCTTGGAGGAAAGTAATGCAAAGTTGTACTTTGGAGGCTCTGTGAGAACTTAGGGTGAAAGGAAAGCAGGGGGACCCTGTGTCACTTCTTATAAGTACCTTGTGAGAATCAATTGTGCCACTGGAGTGCCACCCCCATTTAACTTCTGATGAAGGGCTTCTGTTGCACCTTGCCACCTACTGACTTGTCCGCAACCGGTGCTTTGAAGAACATGGCTTTAAATTATGTCATGTAACTTCTAGTGCCATAAACAAATTTAGAAAAGTAACAGGATGTAAGATCAACATACATCACTTTCTTATACTCCAACAATGAGCCTGCTGAAAAAGAAATTAGGAAAACTATCCCATTCACAATAACCTTAAACACACACACACACACACACACACACACACACGTGCACACACACACATGCACACACACACACACACACACACACATACACATGGGAATTAATCTAATGAAAGAGGTGAAGGCCCTCTACAATGAAGACTATAGAATACTGAAGAATAAAGAAATCGAAGAAGGTGTTAGAAGATGAAAAGACCTCCCATGTTTTTGGATAGGCAGAATTAATATGGTCAAAATGGCCACACTACCAAAGGCATTACGTAGAATCAATGCTATCCCAAGGAAAATACCAATGACATTCTTCACAGAACTAGAAAAGGCCGTTCTAAAATTCATTTGGAAAAATAAAAGAGCCAGAATAGCCAAAGCAGTTCTGAACAAAAAGACTGCTGCTGGTGGCCTCAATAATACAGGACCTCAAATTATACTACGGGGCTTTAGTAACAAAAACAACATAATACTGGTGCCAAAAAAGACAGGGAGGCCAATGGACGAGAAGACACAGAGATAAACCCACAGAAGTACAATTAYCTGATACTAGACACAGGTGCCTGAAGCACATGTTGGAGAAATGATGCTGCTGGAAAACCCGGATCTCCATATAGGAGAATGAAACTTGACCCACATTTCTCACTGTCATGAAAGTCAGCCCAAAGTAGATCACAGGCCTAAGAATCGTCCTGGAAACTCTGCAATTGCTGGAAGAAAATGTAAGGCCAGCACTCCAGCATGTTAGCACAGGAACCGGCTTCCTTAACAAGACTCCTAAAGGGCAAGAAGTAAAACCAAAAGTTAGTAAGTGGGACAGCATCAGATTAAAATCTTCTGCACAGCAAAGGCAACAGTTAAGAATGTGCAGAGAGAGCCTAGAGAATGGGAGAAGATCTTTGCCACCTGTTCCTCAGATAGGGCATTAATATGCAGGATAGGTAAAGAACTCAAAAAGCTGTGCATGCGTGTGTGTGTGCGCGCGCACACACACACACACACCCCCCATCGAATAATCCAATCAATAAATGGGCAAAAGAACTAAATAGACACTTTTCAAAAGAAGAAATACAAAAGGCCCACAAATATATGGAAAAAATGTTCAACATCTCTAGCAATTAGGGAAATGCAAATCAAAACTACCTTGAGACTTCATCTCACTCTAGTCAGGATGGCAATTATAAAGAATACAAATGATAAGTGTTTCAGAGAATGTAGGGGAAAGATATGCTCATATATTGTTGGTGGGACTACAAATTCGAGTATCCATTCTGGAAAGCAGTATGGAGATTCCTTAGAAAACTAGGAATGGTCCCAGCAACTTGGGAGGCTGAGACAGGAGGGTCACAGATTCAAAGCCAGCCTCAGTAACTTAATGAGGTCCACAATAATAATGTGTCTCATAGGTAATTCTTGATTAAGCAACTTAATGAGACCCTGTCTCAAAATATAAATAAATAAATAAATAAATAAATAAATAAATAAATAGGGCTTGGGATGTGGCTAAATGGTTAAACACCCCCGTTTCAATCCCCAGTCCCAAAAGCAAAAGACAAAAAACCTAGGAATGGAACCACCACGTCACCCAGCTATCCCATTCCTTGGTATACATCCAAAAGATCTAAAATCAACATACTACAGTGATGCAGCCATATTGATGTTCACAGTAGCAAAATTCACAATAGCCAAGCTCTGGAAACAACCTGGGTACCTCTCAACAGGTGAATGGATAAAGAAAATATTAATTAATATTAGTCATAAAGAAGAATGAAATTCCTAATAAATGAATGGAACTGGAGACTAGTATATATAAAACTTTAATGCCATTAGAAAATATTCAACTAAATTATAAAAAAAAAGAAAGAAAGAAAGTCAAAGGTCAGTTGTTTCTCTGATATGTGGAAGTTAGTCCAAAATAAGGGGGTGGGGAAGAAGAAAGAAAAGAAAAAAGGTGGAGGGATTTCATCAAAATAGAAAAAAGATCAAGTAGAGTAGAGAAGGGGATTGGGAGGCGAGAAGGGGCTGTATGGGGAAGAACAGTGGAATTAATCTGACCTAACTTTCCCATGTACATATGTGAATTTATCTCAGTGAATCTCACCATCATGCACATCCAGAAGACACTAATAATGAAAAAAACTATAAATAAATAGTAGAAAGATCATTAGAGTAAAGGGAAGGGTAGAAGAAGGGGGAGAGGGGAGTGCTGGAGAMTGAATTAGAGAAAATTATATTCCATGCTTT